TGGATTTTGTGACAAGGTAAAAATCATGTGATCTATAAGATAACTTTTTAATTTATTACAGTAGTAACCTTTTTCTCATATTCATTTGAAAAAAGATCTATGTGATTTTAACTGGAGCGTCCTGTCTGAAAATTGTCAAGAAAAGGGAAGGCTATTTCTCACAGATTAACAGATCAAGAGAGAGGAGATCTAAAAACCTAAAATATAATATAGATTTGGTGATACTTCAAGGTAGAATTATATTAAGGAAAAGAAATAAGAAATTATAACTTGGGGTATCACTAATTCGGCATTTCGTGTCTCAACCTTAGCAATCGAATAGGTTATAAAAGGCAGAATTGTAAGAATAGCACAATATCAGTATTTTGTGTACCTCATCTAGCAATTAAAAAGATGGTAAATAGATTGTGATACATTTTTGACAAATGGTAAGATTGTAAATTCGGCACTTTGTGTCTCAACCTGGCAATCGAATAAGTCAAATATGACAGGATTTCAAATATAGAGCACATCTCTGGCAATTAAGAGAGAAATAAATATAGATTACAAGTTCGTACTTTGTGTCTCATCTGGCAATCAAGAAATGACAATTGAGAGGGAAGCAAATATGTGAGGGTGTTCCTGCATCAGAATGGTATCATGTGATTATAACGTAGTAAGATGCAGTATGAATTCATTTAATTTCGGCCAACACTATTTCACAATTTCAGCCAGAACTTTAGATGTAATATTTGACACCCAAGCTGCATAAAACTGGCGAACTAATAGAAATTCTCTAGCTCCCTGCCAGTTTCATGATAGTTTTAGGAGAGTTCTATGATACTAGCAGGACACTACCATGACGCTATCACAACGCTATCATGACACCAAATTGGATCCTCAAATTACATATCCAAAAGATCGGCCAGTGTTATACCATAGAGCCAGTCAAATTAATCACAATTTCACTATGCCACCTGTCACCTCTTTTTTTACATTATTTCAGTATTTTAAAGGGCAGCCAAATAGACGTGAAAAAGAAGCATCCTCGATATCTTAATAGGCTATCAAAAAGGCCCAGAAGTAAAAAAACAAGCGAATAGCTCTTTAGAAACAAAAAGAACGCAAATCATTGTAAACACATGAATAGTTCCTTGATAATAAAAGAAGAACAGAGCAATAAAATCAAACAGATAGCTATAAGGCAACAAAAAAGGCCACAAAGCAATGAAAATAAGCAGATAGCTACAAGGCAATAAAAAGATTACAGAGCACTGATAATTGTAAGAAGGTAACAATTTATTCATAAGAAGGTAACAATTTACTCATAAGTAGATAACAATTTAATATAATCAGATTATATATATTGTAACCTGGTTAAATACTTTTTCTGAAAGGTTTTTATCATTTCAACAATTACTAATTTTTTGAAGTTCTTTTAAATCTTTCATATCATCATTTTTATAGATAATTTTGACATTAGAAAAGTTTTTATCATGTTTCTTTTGTACTACAAAAATTTTCTTTTTAATGAAATAGATAGTTATTAAATTTCTCAAAATATCTTATAATTAATAAAGCTAAGCTTTTTTATTTCAATCCCACAAGGCTATGACACACCTGTTATATGCTAAAGAATTTGATAATGATCAGATTATTTTGATTATTTTGATGAAAAAGCAGATATCAATTATATCAATTACTGTGTCTAATAAGAAGATTAGACGAAGTGATCCTACTTCATAATACACAGAATCTCAAATCTATATACTAGGAGAGTTTTTATTAATAAATTTCATTGAGTACTTATGGGAAAGTTCAAGAGTAAATGCTATCTACATTTTTATGTATATGATGCAGTTGTACTTCTCTTAACCGGGGTTCATCATTAGGTACCCCCTGTAAATCAGAAAAGATGACCGATCGTTTCTATGCTAAAAGAAAAAATAAGTTTTAAAGGTATCATTAAGTTAAAAGATTTAATAATAAAAAAGTTTTCAAAATATCTTTTATTTAATATAAGTATATACAAATTATATTTGATAAATTTATTAAATTTTTTTTAAAAATCAAAAGACCTTACGTAAACATTGCTAAAAGTATAAAAATGATTTAATTTACTACATAAACAGAAATCTGTCCTTTTTTAATACTCGAAATAGATATATTTACACAATTATTTATTTATATAAAATATCTGCAAAAATTGTTACAAAATTGGTTTACTCCAAAAGTATTCTTTTAGAAATTTTTTTACTATTTTTGAAATTATTTACAATTCTAATGTATTACAGTATAAATAGAGTATAACATGTATATTTATATTATTTTTTTTGTTCTTTTTTACGAGAAAAAATTTTTTTTCCTTTCAAAAGACCACTAAAAACTTTGAAAAATAATAAAGTTTTTGTTCTTTCGTAATTGGTTTCTTCCTTTATATTATCATTATTCTTATTCCATTTACTAATTTATGTAGAATTATCTTACGGAATTAGGTTGTAAAAAAAGTAGTGAAGTTTTTTAACTAACGGCTTATGCAGAATACTTACTTCATTTTATCACGACTCCTTATGTTATTGGACAATACTGAACTTCTCTTATTAATACACTGAGTTCGACTAATCAGCTAAAAAAAAAAAAAAAAGCTTTAAGCAACGTCATAATAAGCATATAAGCAATTTTGTATTTATTTTATTATTTATTTGTACAGTTTTTATATTTCTATTTATTATATGGTGTAGCACCTTTTAACTTGACAAGCATATTCCCAGAGTTGATTTTTTTTAAATAACAATGACACAACTTAAAACGTTACGAATACCGGATATCACGAAAATAATGATGAATTCAATTTCAAGAATATTATCCCTTTTAAATATAAATTTATTTTCACATTCAATTCTTACTTATTTAATATGTTATCTAGTGATTTGCAATATAAATTCATTTGGAGTAAATTGCCAACAAATAAATTCTGATGGAACTATTTCTATACCTTTTATGCAATGGATTGATTTGAGAAGTAAATTGTCTGGTACTCCTCCTCCTGGATTGAAAGATTTCGCTTTTGGATATTCTAAAGAAAGAAATTTAGCAATAATTTTCGGTGGAACGTAAGTTTTCATTTTAATTATTTTATAGTGAATTGAAATTTTGATTAATTAATTTGATGTTTGAACCTCATTATTATTTATATTAAAATTGAGACTTAGTCAAATGCTATAAATATGTATTCTAGCCTTGAATTTTATTTTAATTAATTGATTTATTAATTTATTAATAGAACACCAAGTGGAGGTAAATCCGGAATAACATATTTAATTGATTTCACTGAAAATGCATGGAAGAGACCTGTCGATTATGGATTACCAACATCCAATCAACTAAGTCCGGAAGCAAGGTCAAATATGATGTTTGGAGTTGATAAATCTTCATCTTATCGGAACGCGTTTATTATTGCTTGTGGTGTAGGATCTGGAAATATGCTTTATAATGATGTTTGGGCATTTGATTTTAATTATAAACAATGGACTAAAGTTGAAAATGTTACCGGAGAAATTCCGCCTATGTATGGTAGTTTTGGTGGAATTGATGGTACATTAGCAACGTCATCTCAAACTGAAGAAAAAAATACACTATGGGCAAGTCATGGAACAAATGGAACCCATTTTTTTACTGATCTTTATGCTCTAGTTTTAACTGGAACTTTAATACCAAATTTGATGAGCCTTTCTGCCACCTGGTATAAAGTTCCTGTTGAAGGAGAAATTCCTTCGGGGCGTAATTCTGTTGCAGGTACAATATTACCAAATAAAAGACTGGTAATGTATGGTGGATGTGACAATCTCGAAGAAAAGTGTGCAACATCTGATACTTATACTTTGAGTTTGGGAAGTAATTATCTCAATGGACAAATTCCAACTAGTGCAACACCTTTATGGAGCAAAAAGAATTATTGTTTGGGTTCAAGATCAGGAGCTGCTATTTCCATGAACAGTAATCCTGCTATAACTTATCCAAATCAAGCGATTGTTTATGGTGGAAGTTCACCCGAAGGAAAATCTGTTGGACCTAATGGTGAAATCGGTGTTTTAGATGCGGATTTGGGGAATTGGGTTCGTGTTCTTCCGCAAAAAGATCCTGATTCCGGATTTCCACCTCAAAGAGCGGGAGCTCAATTGATTCCAATTCCATCACCGATTGGTGCAATCGGAATTGCGGCTACAGATATTTTATTATTCGGAGGAGAAGGTTTAGATGGAAACAAATCCAATTTAAATGATATTTGGTTATTGAGATTATACACAAATTCTACTTCAGGAGATACAGCGAAATCGACAACCAATCCTCAAATCACATCGATGGAATTTCTTTCATGTATTCAAGACGCTAAAAAACCTAATTCCGGAGGGGAACCCGGTACTGGAACTGATAATAATAAATCAGGTGATTCGTATGATTTCTCAAAGGCGAAAACTCCAAAAGGTCATGTGAACTTTTCAACATTAAGTTATGCATTTTTACCATTAGCGGCATCGGTTATAAGGTTTGGATATGGATCTCATCAGAAATTTACAATAGCAATGCTATACACAATATTTATAGCAGCTTCTTATACAGCAGCATTTTATGGTTTTGCAATAGCATTTCAAGACATTCCAAAAACAACCGGTCATTTTGTTACATCGCATGGGTTAATAGGATTAGTGTTATTAATATTATTGTATATATTTGCACCTTTAATGGCAATTATATCATTATGTGTAAGCAAAAAATATGAGTCAGATTCAATTTCAAATAATGATTCAGGTTCAGATAATGATAGAAAAGGAAAATTAGCAAGATGTCTTAATTGGCGAAATTCCGAATCAAATTCAAAGTCGGTTAAATCATTTGAAGTTTCTAGACCAGGAAATCGATTGGTATCGGGAGAAGTAACATCAACGGTTAAACCTTCTAATAATTGGATGGAAGCAAGAAAAGGTGTTACAATGGCTGAAAGTCATCCAACAATGTCTTCACAAGGGTCAAGAAACGATAGTTTACAAAATGGTACAACCTCAACAATAACATCACTAAGTTCTGGTATGTCGAATTCAAGTAAAAGAGGATTAGACGTGCGACCAACCCCATCAAATATAATAACTTCAAATCAATTACATCCAACATCATCATCATCATTTGCAATAAAAACAAAACATGCTCATCATATACTCGCACAATTGTTTTTAGTTTTGACGGCGATATATATTGGAATGTCATTATATAAAACGAGAGTCGTAGACTCATTATATTTTTATGCATTTATTGGATTTATAGCAATCATTTATTTAATTTGGATTACTGCAGCTTGGTATGGATATCCAAAAGGTAGAAACAGTTTACTTGTATTAGTAATGCAGAAGATTGCTTGCGGGAAAGGTGAAAGTAACGAAATGGAAAAATATGATTTTGAAGATGGTTATGATCATAATGGTGGTGGTGCTGCTACAATTCTGACAACACAATCTCCTTCTGATAGGATGAGAAATGTTAGAAGTGAAGAAGATGATGATATGGATGAAGCAGCTGAACAAGCTCAATTAGAACAAGATATGTATAATAGAGAAGTTGTTGTAATGACTATACCTAAAAGACGATTAACTGTTGTAAATGCATAGTAGAGAATTTTAGATTAATTATAAAATATATAAAAAGGTTGTGAATTATAAAAAATAAATCCAAATAATATACATTATATTCAAGTTTTTTCTCGTTAATATAATACAATGTGGGATATTATTTTTAGTATATACATTTTTTAAAAATTATTGTACTGTAGTTTTATGTAATATTTTTTTTTTTTTTTTTTTTTTATGTATATCATTCATAGGAAAAACTAGTAAATTTATCAAGTCGTACAGTATTTAAAAACGGAAGAAAAATTATTATTATTCTTAAGTATTGATTTATTTTACTATACATAAATTAAAATATAAACTAGCCAGGATATCAATTTTTCCGGATAAATATCCGGTTGCATAAAAATTTCAAATTAATTTACCGGATCATAATAAATCTTTATTAAAATTTAAAGAAATTAAATTCTTCGATTACATTGCGAATTCCAAATTTCTAAAGCACGGCCAAAATCAAATTCTAATAAATCTACATCATCTAATCCAATCAACATTACCTTTAAAAAGGAATTGAGTAAATAATACTCAATATCTTTAATATATTTGGAAAATCTTCGAAATAATTTTCAAACAATTTTGGAAGTAATAATTCCAATTTATAATTAGCGTAAACTATTGCTTTATAATTATTCCATCAATAATAGCCGCATAATATTCCATCAAAATATTTAATTTGTCCCCTCCATAATTACCCAATAATTCCTTATCATCTGGCCAAATCAAATGATTAAAAATTCTCATTGCATTTAATAAAGATCGATTTCTTGTAATTCTGAAGCAGAAAATGACGAAATTATAATAACATTTGATTCTGATGGTATTTTAGTTAAAAATTTGTTTAAATTGTCTCCAATTAATAAATAATCTTCCATTTTCATCAAAATCCAAATATTCCAATTTGGATCAATATCTGAAATTTGAATATATCGCTGCTGAAATATTTACTTAAATTGCTAAGATATCATATAAGAAGAAAAGAACTGCCAAAAATTTCCAATCACAAATTTGAGTATATAGTTGAATAATGCTTTCTTTTTGATTTCTATTTGAAGTAACAGTTATTTCTAATAATGTATCCATTAAAGATTCAATGGTTAAAAATAAATTTATTGTTTCTTGTCTTTTACTTGAAGAACTAAAAAAAGAATAAATTGATTTCATAATATCTTTCACATGCTTACAAAAAGAAACTTGTTTTTCTGCTAAATTACAGTGTAAAAATAAATATGGATTTTTTTCCACAATTTTTGCTGTAACTCCATTTCTTTTTCCAAGTATTACACTTGCACCATCGATGCAAATATAGAGATTTTGGATGTTATTCCTATAAATATATTTTTAAAGAAAATATGTTAATTAATATTATTAAAATATAAAGCAAAATATAAAATTTTTACAAACCATTATCATCAAAAGTGTAATCATAGTGTTAAAAATTGAATCTGCATCTTTACTTAATAACTAAAAAAGCTTAAGATATCTAACTTTTATCACTTCTTGAATACATGCAATATCTGTACTTTCATCTATTATTATTCTAATAAAACTAGCATTTTTTAATTCGTTCTAAATTTTTCTTCAATTAAAGCTATGGCAAATAAAAATTCTTAACCAGATACAGGATTTTCATATATACAGTGAGATCTCTCTAAATACACCCCCCTTGAGACCATAGTGAAAATTTGAAAAAATGTGCATTTAAGGAGGATGTGCATTTAAAGAGAAAAATTTTGTATAATCTTTATATACTTAAGGCTGTATGGAATGTGCATTTATAGAAAAAATATATATGCGTGAATTAGGGAGGATGCATTTAGAGAGGTCTCACTGTAATTGAATTAGTAGTAGAAATAATTTTTGGAGATTTTAAAACTCAACCAAGTTAAATAACATTTGGAAATTTATTCAATAGTATATTATTTTTAGTTAACCAAAAAATAATTTTCATCAGACAACAAATATATTCATATGCTTTATTAATAGTATTATTTGTAACCTTTTTCATTTATGCTTTTGCAAGTTCAAGATTATTTGCTCAAATATAATCATTATTAGTAGCATGTTC